GACGGCGGTGGTCCCAGCTGGGGTGGGTGGGGAGCGGATGGGGCGGCCCCGGAACCGTTCGCGGGAACGCGGTGCGAACTCCAGCCCTGGAAGCGGTGCCTTCGCAAACAGTCTCCAGGTCGTGGGGCTCTGCCCCAGCGCCTTTCTAAAGCTCCTGTTCCTGAGGATCGTAGGCAGAAGAAACGGAAAGTACGGCGGGCGGCCCTTCTGCACCCTGCCAACCCTATTAAGTAGCTTTCAGACGTGCTGCGTCGCTCAGAAAGCCCACATTTGTCCCCGGTTTTCCTGCGGGCCAGCAGGGGTGGCTGGGAATAGCAAGCGCTCAGTCAAGCGATGGTTCATCTCCGAATGGATGAACATTTAGCTTCCCTATCAGACCCCAAAGCGTTAAGAACCTCCACATAATCCGTTTACCTGAAAGTGGCATCATTTGACTACCTCGGCCCTAGGGTTTGGCAGACACCCTGCTGGGTCCTTCTTGCTTTGGGCAGCTGGGAAAGTACTGCGTTGCTGATGCATTTTTAACGTCTGTTTCTCTTTCTGTTCCGGGGCTGTTCTTGCAGCTCTCAAGCTGGATTTGGAGGAGAAGCTGTTTGGACAGCATCTGGCCACGGAAGTGATTCTCAAGGCGCTGACTGGCTTCAGGAACAACAAAAATCCCAAGAAACCTTTGACCCTTTCCTTACACGGCTGGGCTGGCACAGGCAAGAATTTTGTCAGTCAAATTGTGGCTGAAAATCTTCACCCAAAAGGCCTGAAGAGTAACTTTGTCCACCTGTTTGTATCGACTCTGCACTTCCCTCATGAACAGAAGATAAAACTGTACCAGGCAAGAGAACCCGCTATTATCTCGTCCACAGGCCAGTCGGACTGGTCTGGGTGACCTGCTCACTAACTCTGGCCTCTGCTTCTCTTTCCTTTGTGTTGCAGTAGCCCCCGGCTTCACTGAGTTAAGGCACACTTAGTCCAGGTAGTTATAAAGCTCTCCTACAACATTTCTCTTACTTGGTTCCAAAACAGGCCAGTGGGGTAGGGCATGTTATTCCCCTTAAAAGATGGCGCCAAGGGCTGGGCGCGGTGGCTCACGCCTGTAATCCCAGCACTTTGGGAGGTCGAGGCGGGCAGGTCACTTGAGGCCAGGAGTTTGAGACCAGCCCGGCCAACATGGTGAAACCCCATCTCTACCAAAAAGTACAAAAATTAGCCAGGCACGGTGGCGCCCGCCTGTAATCCCAGCTGCTCGGGCGGCTGAGGCAGGAGAATCACTTGAACCTGGGAGGTGGAGGTTGCAGTGAGCCCAGATCCTACCACTGTACTCCATCTCAAAAAAAAAAAATAAAAAGAGGATGTAGTCAAGGCCAGGTGCAGTGGCTCAGGCCTGTAATCCCAGCACTTTGGGAGGCTGAGGCAGGTGGATCACTTGAGGTCGGGAGTTCAAGACCAGCCTGACTAACATGGAAAAACCCCATCTTTACTGAAAACACAAAATTAGCTGGGTGTGGTGGTGCACATCTGTAATCCCAGCTACTCAGGAGGCTGAGGCAGGAGAATCGTTTGAACCCAGGAGGCGGAGGTTGCAGTGAGCTGAGATTGTGCCACTGCATTCCAGCCTGGGCAACAGAGTGAGACTCTGTCTCAAAAAAGAGAGAGAGAAAAAAAAAAGATGGAGCCTGGAGCCAAGAGAGGCAAGGTGACTTACTCCTTATAATATTTGTGGCAGAGCAGGAACTTGAACCAAAACCTCCCA